GTTGCCCGGGATGAGAATGAAGGAGACTAGCTGAGTAAAAACTGTGGAAATAAGAGAAGAATAAACAAAGAACAAAACGTGATGTACGTGTGCGTCGTGTACACGTCAGGGTGAGCCAGGGAAATGGTCTCATGATGAAGTCTGAGAAGAAGCCTGTCAGAGGTGGGATGACCAGGACAAGTTAGAGGCAATGGGAAATTAGAGACAGATATATTTCAAATGTATAAATTTATAAGAGAATTTTAAGGAATGGGTGTTTTAAAACCATGGCAAGATGGGAAAAGGATAAATAGATAAGCATGTTCCCTGTGACCTCTATGACAGCAAAAAGTAGAAGCAGACATCCTCACCCATCCTCCAGGGAACTTGTTATATAAGTAGTGACATACAAAGTTGTTGGAATGCACTCTATCAGTCACCCAGCCCTATGCTTGCTGACATTTATGCTTATTTTTCAGAAAAAGCAATGCAAGTTACTTTAAAAATGAGTATTACATGATCTAATTTATGTAAATCTCTATGCACACAGCCAGCCATCTGCTTGGGCATGTATATAGGGATGCTCAGAAGAATGCTCACCGGTATGGATGGTAATGATCTTTGGAGGAGGAGACTGGAGTTCCACTTGCTTCTTTGCATTTTAAGTATTGTTTAAAGTTCTTTTTATAATAACCATATAATAAAAGATCTATTTTTACAGGCTGCAATGTTGATGTTAAATACTGCAGAGCCTGGCTTAGTAACTACTGAGAATAGGAAGGAGTGCAGGAAAGACGGACTGAAGATAATGAAATACCAAAAATCTTTGTAGAAATGTAAGTGAGGTTGCAGGGGGCGGGGACAAGAGATAAATCACTAGGTAGATTTGATAGGTGGCTCCTTTTTGTCCACCTCCAACACATCCGTCCCTTTCTTCAGTTCATCTCAAACACTGTTTCCAGGTAAAGTCCCCAAATATCATTTTGTCGCCACTCTCAAGCTAGACTTCGGTGGCTCTCCCCAAGGAAGCTGAATTGGCCCGTTTGCCTGTCTGAAGATTCTATAATTGGTCACTTTTAGAGAAAATGTCCATGTGTACTTCCTGAGCATGTGCCGTCACAGGCAAGGACTCAGGATCAGTGTGTACACATGGGCGTTACAGCCCCTGCTGCCGTCATGATTGCACAACAGTGAGGGCACAGACACAAATAGCTGGGGTGACTCAGGGAAAGAGGGTGGCAGCTGACTGATGTGACAGTTGTTTGGGCAGCCATACAGGTGCGGAGGTGGACCACATCGGGATCTGCCATTGTCTCTGCGCGCCATCTCCTCCCTTTTCATTCTTTCCGAACCCTGAGCCCCCCTAACCTCTCAGATTGCGGGTCAGGTCCAGTCACGGCACCTGTCTCCTTATGACCTGCATGGCACTGATTTTTCAATGATTCTTTCATGATCGCATGATACCTGCTGTCGCTAGTCCCTGCTGCTGTGTGTGAACCGACTTGTGTCCATGAACAGGTGACCATGGGCTTTGAAAGTGGTCTCAGTGCTTAGCACAGAATTCAGCATATAGCAAGTGTATGGTAAAGAGTTGCTGAAATTTGCCAGGAAGCTTTCCAGCAAAATTGTTTAATAGCCTAAAATAAATTCAATTAATTTAAGGCAACACACTTGAAAGCATTACAATACAATGTACAGGGAACACTGATTCTGAGGGGTACAGGGTTGGGGTGACAGGATCAAAGTATTTCCTGAGCCTCCAGAAAGTCAAATTTAAAGCAATATGGAGGGTAGAGTCCCCCCAACTTATGCTAGTTAGAATCCAACCAAGATTGCATTTGTAGTAAATAAAACCCAAATCAAATTGTTATGTAGGACAAGAGAAAAAAAAAACCCTTGATTATTCTGTGACAGCACAAGTGTGTTCTAAGTATGATGTGGCAGTTTTGAGTCTGTGGGCAAGGAGATAATTGGAATATTGGCTATGTAAACAGAAGTGTGAGCTTGCAAAGGCTAGGAGGTCACCTTGGTATTGTACGTGATAAAAAGGAGATCTTACTAGGGAGTCTGGCTTTTCTTTTAATATTTAAAAAGGAAGATGAAAATACCTTGGAGCCCCAATTCCTCAAAGTCATCCCACTGGACATTAGGTTGTCAGGATACCGAAGGTGTTCTGTTTTTAATGGGGGCTAATGGAACTGGGAGACGCTGTCTATGATCCTGAGGTGTCTGGTTAGAAGGTATGTGACCATCCGAGCAGAGCTCAAGACAGGGAATTTTTCCTGAGTGTGCAGCAAGGCTGAGCCAGCACGGTGAGCTGTAGGAGGGTTACTGTAAGCTGGACGCATCTTTATCTCCATAAAGCCAGAAATCGACACATTGAAGCAACAGAGTGATGACTTAGGAATGGACTCCTTGGTGAGGTGTGAGGGAAATACTAAATCATTATTGTGAGAGAACATATCATCTTCAACACTGGACAAATGATAGCAAAGATAGGAAACCGTTTATGAATGATTTATGTGCCTGGCTCTCTGAGCTGCCAGGCAGGTGACCCTTTGAATTTATTTCTGGCTAGGAGTCCATGGATCTAGTACTGTGGACTTCGGGACATGTGCTGTGACTGTTGGGGGGTGTGGTTCCGGCTCCACCTCTGTCACCAGCGTGCCGAACCTCTTATGCAGTGACCGTCATGATTTCTCATCCCATCCTTCAGCAATTCCCCTAGGATTCACAACACTGTGCTTGCAAGGTACTTGGAAAGTATGAGAAAGACATTAGATATATATTAATAGGCCAAATGATGTGAATTTGCTGGCATTTGATCATAAAAATGGCAATTTCATATGGCCTAACCTATCAAAATCCATCATTCATTGTGGCTGCTAAGGTGACAGGCATGGCTGGTTCTGGGGCCATGGACAGAGTCAGACATTATCCCTGCCCTCGGGGAGCTCTCAGCCCCATGAGGGAAACAAGTGTTTCCATAAAACATCACAGTGCAGCTGGACAAGCTGGAGCAAAGCTATTTCAAGACACTGTGGATAAAAGAGAAAGAGCCAGCGAATCTGCTGCGCCAGGAAGGGGAGGGCTGCAGGGAGGCGAACAGAGAATGGTTTGGTGAAAGGCAGGACATCGATTTAGGATGGATTTCGAAGGTAGAGTGATTCACCGGGTGGGAGGGACCACACCAGGCAGAGGAAACAGCTGTGCAAAAACAAAGAGCCTGTCTGGAGGGGGGAAATCATTTCAATATGAAACAACATCAAGATGAGGAGACACTAATCAAAGCCCGTGTATCAATCACTCCCATTACAATGCCCTCCTATTTACTCTTGCCTGGTTAGTAGCTACCACATTTTGTTTCTGTTTGATAGTGCTGGCACAGGCTTTTCAGGACGGCTCTAGCCACCGATTTCGGCAGGGGATGGAGATGATGCAGCCTTTCCAGCTGTGGGGACCAGTCCATAGGGAGCCTCCTTTCTAGCCTATGTCCTGTGAGTGATGGGTGGCACTGGAGAATTTTAGGTAGGACGTTGATTTGCTTGTGTTTGCCTCTTGGAAATGAGCACCCACCGTGGTGGTCTTTGGGAGGAAAGGTGACAAGCAGGGGCTAGTGGAGACAAAGGCAGCTGCTGGGGAGCAGCAGAGGCAAGTGGATGCAGGGAGCAGCAGCAGCAGCATCCAAGGGAGGCGGAAGTGCTCCCATGGAGCTCTGGGCATCCAGGGAGAATGGGCTCCCAGTGAAATAACTCCAGAGGGAATGCAAACGGAAGACATTGCCTTGGACCTCAAAGTTGGTCACCCGTGATCTTAGCTAGAGTAGTTCCAGTGAGGCAGGCACGGTCAGACATCCATGGGTCAAGGCGAGTGGCGGGCAAGGAGCTGGCAGCAGGGGGTGTGCCAGGCATTTAAAGAAGGTTCACCGGAAAGGAAGACAGCCTATTAGAAGGTGCTGAAGCACTGAAGGGAGGCCTGGGGACGGCTGTGTGTGGAGTTGAGTGATGGATGGAAGCCGCAGGAGGAACAAGGCTGGGACAGAGGTGACAGAGGGAGGAAGAGACCAGTTCTCACAGCTCCAAATGCGGGAAGGTCTCTTCTTCCTTCCTGACTAGGGGAGACAGGAGAGGGTATTTGAAGACATAGACTAGTTAGATGGCGAGTCTTGGAAGGTAACAGGTTGGTGTCTTCTTGACTTCATTTCTTTGAGGTGGTGTGGGAGGCAAGGTTAGCTTTGGGGACTAAGGGGAACAGGAGGATTGGGTTGGAATAGGGAGGCTGTAGCTGAGTAGTGACCAGAGCAAGGAACACGTGCTGATCTAGTTTGTGTCTCTGTCACTGTGATAAACATGACCAGCAGCATCTTGAGGAGAGGGATCATTTCATCTTATACTTCCAGGTTCACCACTGAGGAAAGTCAGGGCAGGGATTGAAGCAGAGACCACAGAGCAATGCTGCTTGCCTTGCTCCCCCTGGCTTAAGCTCAGCCATCTTTCTTACGTAACTCAGGATCACTTGCTCAGGGGTGGTACTGCCCACTGTAGATTACAACAGCAATTAGCAATCAAGAAAAAGTGCCACAGACATGGCCCACAGGTCAGTCTGATGGAGGCACTTCCTCCGTTGAGGTCCCCTCTTTCCAGGTGACTTGGTTTATGTTAAGTTGATAACAAAGATAACAAAGGCTGTTTGGCTCACTTGCCCAGCAGCCCCAAGAGCCCAGCAGGAACTGGAGACCATTCTGACACTTGGGACTTTGAGATGTGTGTGGTAACAAAATCCCATGGTGG